TAATCTTGAAATATGGTAACCAAGCACATTAAGAAAATGTAGCTGGCAGAAAAGAACTACAAGAGTCGTTCAGATGGCATGTGGCATGCATATAAATCCTGCTTAATTTCCTTTTACCATTCAACTACTAGGGTAACCCTCAAATCATTTCTTTTTTACTGCATGCCTTGTGAGACAACCACACATGTTAAGTATCATTTCACGCAGGCCTTGAATGGTTTAATTAACTGACATCTAATTCCTGGAGCTTTGTCCAAGGCTTATGGCGCAAATAAGCTTTCTTTCTATCGTAAATGTTATGTGTCATCAGTTTTCTATTATTTGTAGTATTCTCTAAATCATCACTCTTCAATATTGATACATCCCCCCCCCCCCCCCCCCAATTCACTCCAAAACACAGCCGATAGTATCCCAATCTTTGAGAACAGAATCCTCCTAAATAATTTTATACAAGTCTATAATCTGCTAGAGTGTAATCTACTGCTCAGATTCGCGAATGTCGATCCAATTCTCATAAAAAACTCTATCGAAATTAAAAATACACCATAAATATATAAACCATATTGGTAAATTTAAGAAAGATTAATACAACATTGTGCAAAGAAAACAAAATATATGATACCCCTACCAAATCTGATGGCTTGAGATGTTGAACTGTCTCCTTTAATATTCTTATTTAAGGCAGCAGTGAACGCCTCCGAATCTGCCTCCGAATGCATTGACTCATCCTGCGGAACATTAATTCAGTATGAATCTGCTCCCCGCCAATTATAATAAAAAGGAAGAAAGAAGATCCAGAAAATTGGAATTTTTAAATGCGCACTCTTTTGACGAGTTGAGTACTACAGGGATAAGCTAAATATAGGATATGGAAGGAAAAGAGGACCTCATCTTCCTCAAGGAGCTTCATCATGGAAGGGTCCATTTCTGCAATTATGCAGGAACTTTTGTGTGATGTTTGTGGTAAATAGCTCCGTTGGCTGGGTTAAATCTGGCAAGGTCTTTGATGTTGGAAAACTGGTTAAATATGTCAGTCAGAATAATTCATGCATTAAAATCAGGGAGATTTCTTAATAGCTCATTTTACAAAGTGTATGATAGTCTTAACAAGAGAATCCAGAAAGAAGAAAGGATTTTCCCATCTCAATAGATGAACTGCCTGACAAGCATAATCTTTATGGCTTATGGTTTTTAATAAAGATTTCCCTGCGGTTAATGGATAACCATTTGTTATCAGTGGAGAATTTCTTTTGATCTTAATTCAGGTGAACCGAAACCATAAACTGGAGCTTATTATCAATTGGGTCACTTAGCCAGCTTCATAATTAGAAAAACAAAGCACGTTGGACATACATTTCTTCCCTTTTTCCTTTTATAATTTTCCATTTTTTCATCAAATAGTAGTAAGAAAACGTATTCTCTCCATTTCATTTAATAAGACTGCATTTGATTGTACACAATCAGATCATTTTAAGATTTCATGCTTCTTTTTTTAAAATTGACAATTTCTTCAACAGGACTATAACTTCGTATTTTGCGAATAAAGGCAATAACCACCAAGTGTCTCAATCTTAAACTAAGTTGGACTCGGCTAATCATCTGCACACATTCTGCTCTATTCGGGTCCAAAACACTTCTTGCTTATAAACAATCTGTCGCCAAAAGCAACTTAAACATTCTCTAAATCTCTGCGTTATTCTTACACTAGCATCCAAGCTCTAACCAGACTCAAAAGGCTCTTGACAAACACCAGACATAAGTATAATAAAATAACTAGCACATTAATCCCGAGTCCTAACTGTATTTTTATGATTGAGAAATCTCCGGGGACTAGTGACAGCCTGTTAAGAACTCAGTGGCTGCCCTTTACCATTCTCACTTAAATACAAAACCTTTATCTTTGACAGGTTTCAAACTAGTGACGTGTGTCCAACCCACATATCATGTGTTGCATTCTTACACTGACTAAAGCCTTGGTGGCAATCTTGACTAAATGTTTTGCGTCATTCTTTTCCAATCCCACCACCTCACTAACTACTAAGTATACGACCACTGGACAAACTAAGTTGACAAAGATAGTTCATGCCCCACTAATAGGAATTTATTTCTTATAAAAAGGGGTACTTTCTTTTTGAAGTCTAATAGCAATACAAACATAGATAGTTATTGCTTAATGGTATTTAGTTCAAAAGAAAAAGGGGGGAAGAACGCGCTCTTACTACCAATAAAGTATAAACAAGTAATACAATCCCGTTATCTGGAGGTGTAAAAATTAGCGAATGTGTATGTGACTGAACTCAAAACCTACCAAACAACACAAAACGGTAACCTAACTTTGTGGCTTTTAAATTCGAACGTGATAAACAAAGTACAAACATCTTGTAAGCATACAGAAGGAAACATTACCGCATGAAAAATGATAAAACCCAAATATTGTTAGGGAAGAAGCTCAAAATACCTATATCAAAGAGTCTGACGAAGCTGCCGAAGCCTGGATTGTCCTAAAACGTTTAGCGAACCATCTCATAGGTTGGTTCAAGAAACAAGGGAAAATTTTCATCTTAAGAAGAATTAAGTACTGCTTACTTGATTGGGTAAAACAGCGCGGGAAAGAGAGAGAGAGCAGAACAAGGAGAATGATGATCTTCGAAAAGCGGGTTCGGAAAGAAAAGTTTTGAAAAAGAAAAGCTTTACCAATCAAATAAAGAGAAAATAGTACGGGTAGTCATTTTCGGATTTTCCATTCAAAAAAGCGAGTCAAGTCATTTAAAAATAATCATTTTTTTGCTACAACAGATGATCCATCATAATATAGTGGAGTTCATATTATGCTAGACCGATATAATTTGCTGGCTCTAGTATAATATACTGAATTTCAGTATATTATGCTGGATTATTTTTCGAATTTTGAATAATATTTTCGTTCAGACTTAACTTTACCTAAAGAGTAGCTAAATTTCAATGACTTTTGAAATTGTGGCTATTTTTGAATGAACACTTATAAATCTGACTATTTTTTAATTTCTCAGGTAACCCTCTCGTTAAAATATGACCCTGTTGGCCAAGTGCCAAAATTTGCTTATTATGCTAAAACTAGTTATTAGATGATCAACATTTTTAATTAATAATTTTAGTAAATAAGCTATAATATTATATAAATAAGAAAGTATATAACGTACGTCATACAACACTATAACTATACTCAACGTAGTAAGTCGATAAAATATTATAAGAAGTTAGAAAGCAACATAATTTAAGCAAAGAAATTAAATATATACGCGGAAAAATAACCATTGCACATCGTATAGTGATTATAATTAGAAGTAAATAATATTCATAATCATAGACTTTTGTATTCTTAGTTAAGTCTTGTTCGCAAATAGTGTCATATTATTACAAGTAATAGCATGTATGAGTGAGGAAAATGGAAATAAGTGGGAATCATTTACACCCCCGAACTTTGCTTAAAAATTCAAACTCTCCTCCAACATTGAATAATAGACATCATCTCTCTCATATCTCAAATAGGTGTTTTTAAATGCTTATTTTATCCTTATATTATCAACATTTATCTCTTATTTTTAATATTTTTAATTATCATGATACTAATTCATTAACACATCTTTTTAAGTTTTCTAAAATTGCAATAAAAAAGGATTGTTACTCTAAATAGTCAATCAAATTCACTGTTTACTTTTTCTAGCCGATATATATAAATATACATTAATTATACATAGTTATACATATATTATATACGAATTATACATATATTATACATCTACCGGCTATTATTAGTTTAGAGATTTAGTGGACGGCTATTTTGGAACCATTGTCTAACGTTGTCTTATTCTGTCACATACTATTCCTTTATTCATTCATGTATTTTTACTGCCAGATAGAAACATTCTTACACCTTTTTCTTTTTGGAGGCTTTGTGGAGGTTGGATAGGTTTCACCAAGCTCTTCACTACCACTTTTAGCGGTGCATCTTCTGAGGATCCCCAAGATTATTTGGACAGCTGTCATGAGGTTCTCAGGAACATGGGGATAGTGGAGACCAATGTTAATGAATTAGTATCATGATAATTAAAAATATTAAAAATAAGAGATAAATGTTGATAATATAAGGATAAAATAAGCATTTAAAAACACCTATTTGAGATATGAGAGAGATGATGTCTATTATTCAATGTTGGAGGAGAGTTTGAATTTTTAAGCAAAGTTCGGGGGTGTAAATGATTCCCACTTATTTCCATTTTCCTCACTCATACATGCTATTACTTGTAATAATATGACACTATTTGCGAACAAGACTTAACTAAGAATACAAAAGTCTATGATTATGAATATTATTTACTTCTAATTATAATCACTATACGATGCAATGGTTATTTTTCCGCGTATATATTTAATTTCTTTGCTTAAATATTTGCTTTCTAACTTCTATAATATTTTTATCGACTTACTTACGTTGAGTATAGTTGATAGTGTTGTATGACGTACGTTATATACTTTCTTATTTATATAATATTATAGCTTTATTTACTAAAATTATTAAATAGAAATGTTGATCATCTATTAACTAGTTTTAGCATAATAAGCAAACTTTTGGCACTTGGCCAACAGGGTCATATTTTAACGAGAGGGTTACCTGAGAAATTAAAAAATAGTCAGATTTATAAGTGTTCATTCAAAAATAGCCACAATTTCAAAAGTCATTGAAATTTAGCTACTCTTTAGGTAAAGTTAAGTCTGAACGAAAATATTATTCAAAATTCGAAAAATAATCCAGCATAATATACTGAAATTCAGTATATTATACTAGAGCCAGCAAATTATATCGGTCTAGCATAATATGAACTCCACTATATTATGATGGATCATCTCTGTTGTAGCAAAAAAATGATTATTTTTAAATGACTTGACTCGCTATTTTTGAATGGAAAATCCGAAAATTGACTACCCGTACTATTTTCTCTTTATTTTGATTGGTAAAGCTTTTCTTTTTCAAAACTTTTCTTTCCGAACCCGCTTTTCGAAGGATCATCATTCTCCTTGTTTCTGCTCTCTCTCTCTTTCCCGCGCTGTTTTACCCAATCAAGTAAGCAGTACTTAATTCTTCTTAAGATGAAAATTTTCCCTTGTTTCTTGAACCAACCTATGGAGATGGTTTCGCTAAACGTTTTAGGGACAATCCAGTCTTCGGCAGCTTCGTCAGACTCTTTGATATAGGTATTTTTGAGCTTCTTCCCTAACAATATTTGGGTTTTATCATTTTTCATGCGGTAATGTTCCTCTGTATGCTTACAAGATGTTTGTACTTTGTTTATCACGTTCGAATTTAAAAGCCACAAAGTTAGGGTTACGTTTTTGTTTGTTTGGTAGGTTTTGAGTTCAGTCACATACACATTCGCTAATTTTTACACCTCCAGATAAACGGGATTGTATTACTTGTTTATACTTTATTGGTAGTAAGAGCTCGTTCTTCCCCCCCTTTTTCTTTTGAACTAAATACCATTAAGCAATAACTATCTATGTTTGTATTGCTATTAGACTTCAAAAAGAAAGTACCCCTTTTTATAAGAAATAAATTCCTATTAGTGGGGCATGAACTATCTTTGTCAACTTAGTTTGTCCAGTGGTCGTATACTTAGTAGTTAGTGAGGTGGTGGGATTGGAAAGAATGACGCAAAACATTTAGTCAAGATTGCCACCAAGGCTTTAGTCTAGTGGTAAGAATGCAACACATGATATGTGGGTTGGACACACGTCACTAGTTTGAAACCTGTCAAAGATAAAGGTTTTGTATTTAAGTGGAGAATGGTAAAGGGGCAGCCACTGAGTTCTTAACAGGCTGTCACTAGTCCCCGGAGATTTCTCAATCATAAAAATACAGTTAGGACTCGGGATTAATGTGCTAGTTATTTTTATTATACTTATGTCTGGTGTTTGTCAAGAGCCTTTTGAGTCTGGTTAGAGCTTGGATGCTAGTGTAAGAATAACGCGAGATTTAGAGAATGTTTAAGTTGCTTTTGGCGACAGATTGTTTATAAGCAAGAAGTGTTTTGGACCCGAATAGAGCAGAATGTGTGCAGATGATTAGCCGAGTCCAACTTAGTTTAAGATTGAGACACTTGGTGGTTATTGCCTTTATTCGCAAAGATACGAAGTTATAGTCCTGTTGAAGAAATTGTCAATTTTAAAAAAGAAAGCATGAAATCTTAAAATGATCTGATTGTGTACAATCAAATGCAGTCTTATTAAATGAAATGGAGAGAATACGTTTTCTTACTACTATTTGATGAAAAAATGGAAAATATAAAAGGAAAAAGGGAAGAAATGTATGTCCAACGGTGCTTGTTTTTCTAATTATGAAGCATGGCTAAGTGACCCAATTGATAATAAGCCTCCAGTTTATGGTTTCGGTTCACCTGAATTAAGATCAAAAGAAATTCTCCACTGATAACAAATGGTTATCCATTAACCGCAGGAAATCTTATTTAAAAACCATAAGCCATAAAGATTATGCTTGTCAGGCAGTTCATCTATTGAGATGGGAAAATCCTTTCTTCTTTCTGGATTCTCTTGTTAAGACTATCATACACTTTGTAAAATGAGCTATTAAGAAATCTCCCTGATTTTAATGCATGAATTATTCTGACTGACATATTTAACCAGTTTTCCACATCAAAGACCTTGCAGATTTAAGCCCAGCCAACGGAGCTCATTTACCACAAACATACACAAAAGTTCCTGCATAATTGCAGAAATGGACCCTTCCATGATGAAGCTCCTTGAGGAAGATGAGGTCCTCTTTTCCTTCCATATCCTATATTTAGCTTATCCCTGTAGTACTCAACTCGTCAAAAGAGTTGCGCATTAAAAATTCCAATTTCTGGATCTTCTTTCTTCCTTTTTATTATAATTGCCGGGGAGCAGATTCATACTGAATAATGTCCGCAGGATGAGTCAATGCATTCGGAGGCAGATTCGGAGGCGTTCACTGCTGCCTTAAATAAGAATATTAAAGGAGACAGTTCAACATCTCAGCCATCAGATTCTGGTAGGGGTATCATATATCTTTTGGCTTTTCTTTGCACAATGTTGTATTAATCTTTCTTAAATTTACCAATATGGTTTATATAATTTATGGTGTATTTTTAATTCGATAGAGTTTTTTATGAAGATTGGATCGACATTCGCGAATCTGAGCAGTAGATTACCTCTAGCAGATATAGACTTGTATAAAAATTATTTAGGAGGATTCTGTTCTCAAAGATTGGGATATATCGGCTTGTGTTTGGGAGTGGAATTGGGGGGGGGGGGGGGGGGCATGTATCAATATTGAAGAGTGATGATTAGAGAATACTACAAATAATAGAAAATGATGACACATAACATTTACGATAGAAAGAAAGCTTATTTTGCCCATAAGCCTTGGACAAAGCTCCAGGAATTAGATGTCAGTTAATTAAACCATTCAAGGCATGCGGTGAAATGATATCTTAACATGTGTGGTTGTCTCACAAGGCATGCAGTAAAAAAGAAATGATTTGAGGGTTACCCTAGTAGTTGAATGGTAAAAGGTAAAATTAAGCAGGATTTATATGCATGCCACATGCCATCTGAACGACTCTTGTAGTTCCTTTTCTGCCAGCTACATTTTCTTAATGTGCTTGGTTACCATATTTCAAGATTACAGTGGCAATGTCAGTTTTTTTTAGTAGTGTCTGTTTAGTTCCAAGGATCCTACTATTTCTCAGCCATGCTTATAGTAAAATGTAGTCTGTGGGTAATGAACAACTTTTTGGAAGGTTTTGCTAGTCAATCCTGTTTTTTTTAATGGCTTGTTTAATTTTAAACATTCCTTTTGTAAAATTTGGTTTGTGGAGTAGGTCAACATGCTCTTAATTCTGTGTTGAAAGTTGTGGATTTGGTCACTTCTAATGATTGAGAGCAAGGTCATAATAAGAAATTTCATTGGCCATGTTTCTATGTTGAAGACATAATTAAATAAACAAAAGTACGCTCTCTATAACAACTTAAGCTTTTAGATGAGATGGTCACACACTTCAACATGATATTAGAGCAGAGATACTGGGTTTGAGTCTCACCGACACCCATTATTAAGAATTTCCACGTGCTTGGCCCATGAAAAATATCAAGCTTGCACGTGATGGGGCATGTTTAAGACACGATTAAATAAATAAAAGTGTTATCTCTCTAACAACTTAAGCTTTTAGGAAATATCACACACTTCAACACTGGTAATCAACGAATAGATGGTATTTACTTCTCTAATCATTGAAAAGTAATACTCCCTCCATTTCAATTTATGTGAACCTATTTCCTTTTTAGTCCATGCCATAAAGAATGATCCCTATCCATATTTGGATGCAATTTACTTTTATGCAATGGTTTATAGCTACACAAAATATATGTGTCTCATTTTACACCACAAGTTCAAAAGTCCTCTTTTTTCTTAAACTCTGTGCCCAGTCAAATAGGTTCACTTAAATTGAAACGGAGGGAGTATATAATTGAGAAAATACAAAATTATTATCAACTCAAGGTTAAAAGAGAAAGGCCTCAAGGGAAATGGTGGCAAGAAAGGCGAGAGAGTTCTGTAGTTCTCTAGGGATATGCAACCATTTCAATAAGGGAGATTGGAAAAGGTTGTCAGTCTATATGATTTTACATGCATATATGTAGCCGTAAATGCGTCATAATATGTGATTCTTATTGGTGTGTTCACAAAAATGTTGCGCAAGTATAAAAGACGTGATTTAGTTTTGTGAATAATGCGTTAATAGATTTCTCCTCTACATAAAATGCAGTATTAAAGATGCCTATTTGAATAGAGTAATGTTCTGGTTCCAGTTTGGAATTTCGTTTAGGTTGTTCATGCATTACCAACACAAACATTCCACTGGCGAAGTCACTTTCTATGAAAATTATTTCCTTTTTGTGGCTGGAACTAGAATCCCCCTGCACCTTTATCACTTGCTTCATTTCTCTTTTTCCCCTCTTTTCCCCCTGTTGTATAGGAGTGGGCTAGGGTAGGTAGTGTCTAAGAGGAGGGATATCAGGTCCCTCTTGATTTGAATTGTGGAAACACGAAGATGAAGGTGCTAATGCCCTTTAACAGTACATTACTCTTTCTTCTCTGAGAAAAATATCTCATCTTTTAACAACGTTAACATGCAGTAAATTGTCTCAGGAAGTTGTTGCACCTTAAATCAGTCTGCTCCATGGCAAACTTCTGGCGATGATGAAAATGCCGATCATCAGAGTCTTCAAAATTCGCAGAACATGCAGCAAAAGGAGGGAGATTCATCTGATTTGGAACTAAAGCAGCATGGTATAGATGCTCCTACTCAACAACACGAAGATGATTCCTCACAGGAGCTTAATTCCCTTCGTTTGCAGCATATACATGCCAAAGATGCTTATCAACTACCGAGGGCTGAACAAAACACACTTCACGCCTTTGAGGTGTTGAATTTGAAGAGATCTGAAAAGAATCCTGAAAATTTAGATTCCCGGCATCTAAACTTGCAGGGATTGAGTAATCAACAATCTATGCAGTCATTTCCAACAGGGACTAGCGGTCAGCAATTGATGGCAGCAAAGACAAGTTATCAACCAAAATCTGCAACTGATTTGAGTAGCCAACCAGCAATCGATGTAGTTAACCAGGGCAAACAAGTGCCTTTTTCCATCCTTATCCCTCACATACAACGCCAACTCGACAAGACAGGGCGATGCATCTTCAGACTCTCTACCTAAACTCAGGGTAGTTTGTTAGAGCCTAAACTGTTTTTCTGTATCTATTTACTCTTTTCTTTTTGTTATGTTAT